AAAAGAAGGACTTAAAAAAGGTAGACATAGACTTTGCATATGGAGAGGAAGTCAAGGCCATATAAAGAAATAAAAGACTGGTATAAACTTAGAAATAGGGGTAAATACTAAGGTAACCACAAAGGAAATTAATAATCCTCAAGTCAAAATAAAAAAAAAAAACTAGAAAAATATCAAGACTCAGCAAACACGAAATCAAAAATGAAAAAGATAAAAAGAAAATACATAAAGAAAAATGACTCAGCACAGACAATTAAGTGAAACAAAGAAACTGTGAACAACACACAAAAAAAGACATCAAAATGAGAGCACTAAACTCCTTCCTGTGAATAATTACACTGAATCTAAACGGACTAAATGCACCAATAAAGAGACAGAGTGGCAGATTGGATAAAAAAAATACGACCTGTCTATATGCTGCCTATAAGAGACACGCCTTAAAGACAGAAACAAACTAAAACTCAAAGGATGGAAAAAAATACATCAAGCAAACAACACTCAAAACAGAGCAGGAGTGGCGATATTAATCTCTGACAAAATAGACTTTAAAGTAAAATCCACCATAAAGGATAAGGAAGGACACTATTTAATGATCATAGGGTCAATAAACCAAGAGGACATAATTATAATAAATATTTACACACCCAACAACAGGGCTCCAAAGTACATAAAGTCTAACAGCACTGAAAAGAGAGAGAGACAGCTCCGCAATAGTAGTAGGAGACTTCAGCACACTACTTTCGGTGAAGGACAGAACATTCAGAAAGAAGTTCAACAAAGACCAGAAAATCTAAATGCTACAGTCAACCAACTTGATCTCATAGACATATACTGAACACGCCACCCAGCAGCAGCCAAGTATACTTTCTTTTCCAACGCACATGGAACGTTCTCCAGAACAGACCACATATTAGACCATAAAGCAAGCCTTAACAAAATCCAAGGCATCGAAATATTACAAAGCATCTTTTGTGACCATAAAGCCATAAAGTAGAAATCAACAACCGATAAAGCAAGGAAAAAAATCAAACACATGGAAACTGAACAGTACCTTGCTAAAAAACTACTCAGTTATAGAAGAAATTAAGGATGGAATAAAGAAATTCATAGAATCAAACGAGAATGAAAACGCATCCTACCAGAACCTTTGGGACATACCAAAACCAGTGCTCAGAGGTCAGTTTATAGCAATAAATGCACACATCCAAAAAGAAGAAAGGGTCGTAGTCAAAACATTAACCCTACAACTGGAACAAGTAGAGAGCAGCAAAAGAAGCCCTCAGACGCCAGAAGAAATAATAAGAATTAGAGCAGAATTAAATGAAATAGAGAATAGAAAAACAATTGAAAGAGTTAACAAGACCAGAAGCTGGTTCTTTGAAAAGATCAACAAAATTGATAAACCATTGGCCAAACTGACAAAAGAAAAACAGGAGAGGAAGCAGATAACCCGTATAAGAAATGAGATGGGTACTATCACAACAGACCCAACTGAAATTAAAAGAATCATAACAGAATACTATGAAAAGTTGTACTGTAACAAATTTGAAAACCTAAAAGAAATGGACAAATTTCTAGAAACTCACTATCTACCTAAACTAACATGAACAGAGGTAGAACAGCTAAATAAACCCATAACGAAAGAAGAGATTGAAAAGATAATTAAAAAACTCCCCCCCAAAAAAAGCCATGGCCCAGATGGCTTCACTGGAGAACTCTACCAATCTTTCAGAAAAGAGTTAACACCACTACTACTAAAGGTATTTCATAGCATAGAAAAGGATGGAGTACTCCCCAGCTCATTCTGTGACGCCAGCATAACCCTGACATCAAAACCAGGTAAAGACACCACAAAAAAAGAAAATTACAGACCAATATCCCTCATGAACATTGACGCAAAAATTCTCAACAGAATTCTAGCCAATAGAATTCAGCAACATATATAAAAAAAAAAATTTCATCATGATCAAGTGGAGTTTATACCAGGTGTGCAGGGGTGGTTCAACATTAGAAAAAAAAATCACTGTAATCCATCACATAAATAAAGGACAAGAACCACATGATCTTATCAATTGATGTAGAAAAGGCATTTGACAAAGTCCAACACCCATTCATGATGAACACTCTCAACAAAACAGGAATAGAAGGGAAATTCCTCAGTATAATTAAGGGCATTTATACAAAGCCAACAGTAAACATCATCCTAAATGGAGAGACTTTGCAAGCATTCCCCTTGAGAACGGGAACCAGACAAGGATGCCCCTTATCACCACTCTTACATTGTGCTGGAGGTCCTAGCCAGAGCAGTTAGGCTAGAAAAAGAAATAAAGGGCATCCACATTGGTAGGGAAGAAGTCAGAGTATCTCTGTTTGCAGTTGATATGACCTTATACACAGAAAACCCCAAAGAATCCACAAGAAAACTACTGGAACTAATAGAAGATTCCAGCAAAGTTTCAGGATACAAGATAAACATACAAAAATCAGTTGGATTCCTTTACACCAACAAAGAGAACCTCGAAGAGGAAATCACTAACTCAATACTATTTACAATAGCTCCCAAGGAGATAAAATACTTAGGAGTAAATCTAACCAGAGACATAAAAGATCTGTACACAGAAAACTACAAGACCCTACTGCAAAAAACCAAGAGAGACCTGCATAATTGGAAGAACATACCTTGCTCGTGGATAGGTAGACTCAACATAGTGAAGATGTCAAGTCTACCCATAGTGATCTACAAATACAATGCAATCCTGATCCAAATTCCATCGGCATTTTTTAATGAGATACAGAAACAAGTCACCAACTTCATATGGAAATGGAAGAGGCCCCGAATAAGTAAAGCATTAATTACTCAAGAAGAAGAGCAAAGCAGGAGGCCTCACACTACCTGATTTTAGAACCTATTATACCACCACGGTAGTCAAAACAGCCTGGTACTGGTACAACAACAGATACATAGACCAATGGAACAGAATTGAGAATCTAGACATAAATTCATCCACCTATGAGCGGCTGATTTTTGATAAAGGCCCAAAGTCTGTTAATTGGGGAAAAGACCATGTCTTTAACAAATGGTGCTGGCATAACTGGATGTCCATCTGCAAAAAACTGAAACAAGACCCATACCTCACACCATGCAGAAAAACTAACAGTGGATCAAAGACTTAAATATGAAATCAAAAATGATAAAGATCATGGAAGAAAAAATAGGGACAATGCTAGGAGCCCTAATACATGGCATAAACACAATATGAACTATAAGTAACAGTGCACAAGCACCAGAAGAGAGACGTAAAGAAATGGGAGCTCCTGAAAATCAAACACTTAATGCTCATCAAAAGACTTCACCAAAAGAGTAAAAAGACAGCCTACAGACTGGGAAAAAAATTTTGGCTATGACAGATCCAATCAGCATCTAATCTCTAAAATCTACAAGATACTGCAAAACCTCAACAAAAAGACAAATAACCCAGTTAAAAAATGGGGAAAGGATATGAAGAGGCACTTTGCCAAAGAAAATATTCAGGTGGCTAACAGACACATGAAGAAATGCTCAACATCATTAGCCATTAGAGAAATGCTGATCAGAACTGCAATGAGATATCATCTCACCCCAACAAGGCTAACATTAATCCAAGAAACACAAATAATAGATGCTGGAGAGGTTATGGAGAGACTGGAACACTTATATGCTGTTGGTGGGAATGTAAAATGGTACAACCACTTCGGAAATCGATTTGGCACTTCCTTAAAAAGCTAGAAGTACCATACGATCTAGCTATCCCACTCCTCGGAATATATCCTAGAGAAATAAGAGTCGTCGCATAAATAGATATATGCACACCCATGTTCAACGCAGCACTGTTCACAATAGCAAAAAGATGGAAACAACCTAGGTGCCCATCAGCAGACGAATGGATAAACAAATTATGGTATATCCACACAATTGAAATACTACGCAACGATAAAGAGCAACGATGAAGCCGTGAAACATAACATGGAGGAAGCTAGAACTCAATATGCTGAGTGAATTTAGTCAGTCACGGACAAATCTTGTATAAGACCACTGTTATAAGAACTCAAGAAAAGGTTAAGCACAGAACAAAACATTTTTTGATGGTTACGAGGGTGGGGAGGGAGTGAGAGGGTTATTTACTAACTAGATGGTAGATAAGAATTATCTTAGGTGAAGGGAAGGACCGCACACAGTACAGGGGAAGTCAGCACAACTAGACTAAACCAAAGCTAAGAAGTTCCCTGAGTACAATCAAACACTTGCGGGACAGAGTAGTAGGGGTAGGGGTCTGGGGACCATACTTTCAGGGGACATCTAAGTCAATTGGCATTAACAAAGCTTATTAAAATGTTCTGCATCCTACTTTGGTGAGTGGTGTCTCGGGTCTTAAAAGCTTGCAAGTGGCAATCTAAGATGCATCAATTGGTCCCAACCACCTGGAGTAAAGAAGAATGAAGAACACCAAAGACATAAGGAAAGTATTAGCCCAAGGGACAAAAAGGGCCACATAAACCAGAGACTTCATCAGCCTGAGACCAGAAGAACTAGATGATGCCCAGCTACCACCAGTGACCACCCTGACAGGGAGCACAACAGAGAGTCCCTGATGGAGCAGGAGAAAGGTGGGGTGCAGAACTCAAATTCTAGTAAGAAGACCAGACCTAATGGTCTAACTGAGACTGGAGGAACCCCAGAAAGCATCATCCCTGGATTCTCTATAAGTCCAGACACTAAAACAGTTTCTGAGGCCAACTCTTCAGACATGGATTGGACGAGACTGTGGGAAATAAAGTGATACTCGTGAGGAGTGTGCCTCTTGGCTCAAGTAGATACAAGAGACTAAATGGGAAGTTTCTGTCAGGAGGTGAGATGGGAAGGCAGAAAGGGTTAGGAGCTGGTTGAATGGACATGGGAAATCCGAGGTGGAAAGGAGGAGTGTGCTGTCACAGTATGGGGAGAACAATTAGAGTCACATAACTATTTATAGATTTTTGTATGGGAAAAAAAAAAATACCCTACCACTGTATTACAGTGTATATTGGATCTCCTCCTACCCTGCATGTCTTTTCATTTCTTTCATAATTTTCTGCTCTTTTTTTTTTTCCTTCTTAGTTTAGGGAGACTCTTGAGCAAATATTGTAGAGGGATCTTCTAATTCATTAATTAGGTTTACTGCAATGGAGCAGTTCTGCTCTACACACATGGGATCTCCATGGGTCGGAATTGAGGGCAACTAACAACAACAACAATATAGACGTAGGATTGCCAGGACTTTCTTCCAAGGTATCTCTGGGTGGGTTCCAACTACCAACTTTTCGGTTAGCAGTCAAGTGCATCAACTGTTTGCACCAGTCAGGGACACCTGCAGTTTACAGTCTAATTACTATCTTCACTGGATGTTGTATTTTGGCAACTACATTTTTCACCACTAAAAATGCTAGGTTTTTTTTTTTTTTTTTGTCTTCGTATTGCTCCTTGTTTTATGACTGCCTATTCTTGTTTTATCAGTGTGACAGTCTCTTGAATCTCACTTAGTTTTTTGTTTTATCTTCTCCTGTTTCTGCCAACAGCACTATCTCCGAGGAGGTGGCTTGTCCTGAGCACAGAGATTGGTCCTCTTCTTCTGAACTGCTGGCTGTTGTCATATTCAGTAACATTCCCATTGGTTTATACATTTGAAGGGATGTTTGCATTTGTTCTATAGCCGAGATACGTTCTTTCAGAAATCAGGGAGGCTCCTGTACAGTTTTTTGTTCAGGAACAGCCTCCTTTAGATAGCTCAGAGCTCACTGGTGAAATAACACACAGCCAGTCACCCTACTGCAAGTGCCCTGTCCAGCTAGGCAGTGTCCATGCCATCTGTGAACTATGCTGCAGACCAAGGGCTGCTCTCCACAATCTCTAGTGACAACATCAGACACTCAGGTGGATTCAGATTTACCCCCTTCCTTCTAACTCCAGCTCTTAGCTAGGTGCCATTTATGAGATCAGGGTGTGTTTGTAGGGAGCAAGCGTCCCTTGCATAGATGTTAAATGGTTTTCTGATCCACTCTGCTGTTACCTGCACTGTGCCTGCTGAAGCTTCAGGTGTATGGCTAGGACCCTTCTTTGGAATCTAGGGGTGATATTTAGCCAAGCTGGACTACTTGTTGTCTAATCATTTTTCCCCTCCTGTATCTTTGTCTCCACCTGAAAATGCTTTCTTCTTAATCCCCATTTCCATCTGTGGAAATTCCACTCATCACTTAATTCCCAGCTGAATGCCATCTTTTTCCAGAAACTTCCTGAGATTCCTTCAGCCATATATAATTGGCACTTTGTCACATGGTCTGCCAGATATTCTAGCTGCTTATATCCTTGTCAGCCCTTCCTTTCACATTGTGAGCTACTTGAGTTCAGGAGCCATATCTTGTTCACCTTTATATGAAGAGGCATTAGAATGAAGAGGTTAGAGATGCTGGGTTGTTGAGTCCTTACTCAACACTTACCCACCATGAGTCCTCAGTCAAGTAAGTTACTTAACCTCTCTGAGTGGATTTTACCCTTTGGAAGATGAGCGTAGTGATAGTACGTACCTCATGAAGCTGTTTTGAAGATCAGACGAGATAATATAGCACAGTGAACACTGAAATAAATATTAGTTCTATTTTCTGTATTCCTTACAGCACCTAGCCCATGTAGCACCTAATCCACCACAGGCCTTCCGTAATGGCAGTTGAGTGCATGAAAGCAAATACTTCACTTTTATATTGAGTCAGTGGCAGAGTGCAGATAGAACTCAGGGCTCCTGAGGATCCCACACGTGCACCCACTTGCACATGTCGAGTACGTGGGTTCTCAGATGCATTTCATAAAGCCTCTAGAATGGAAGGAGGAGAGTTTTGTTTTTTTTTTTTTTTTTTTTTAATACAGACAGTCCCCGGATTAATGAATGTGAGACTTAATGGATAACTCATACTTAAGAACGGACTGCCATAAGGCCTGTTATATTAAAATTTTGAGTTAAATACAATCATTCGTAATAAGGAACATATGCGCTACTTTGTGACACTCTTGAAAACGTGGTTTGAAAGTGTTTCTTAAGTGTTTTATATGCATAGAAAGGGAATATGTATATATATACATATATATACTAAGAAAAACATTTGATTGACACTAAATAAGAACGGTGTGTACCTGATCCTATTTACCTACAAATTCGACTTAAAGACAGACTTAAGAATGGATTTTGATCGTAACCCAGGGATTACCTGTAAACAAATTGTAGCCTTTCTGTGAAAGATACAGAATCTTATTTGTTTGGTTGATTGGCTGGATTTTCAAATAAGCAATTGCTTTCTTGTCTGGATTGAAGTTTGATAAAGAAGTAGCCGCAGATGGAAGCTCAAAAGAAAGGCATCATAGTCTTACAATGGAAAGATTCCATTCAAAGTGGCAGTTTAGATGGTTGTTGATTGTTAACGCCTCCCCACATAGACCCACCAAACCAATGAATGAATTAATGCGTTCTTTCTATGCATAGTTTTTTTTTTGGTTTGTTTGTTTTTCTTTTACATTTGCAGCTAATTTTTTGAATCAATATAGAGTACAGCCTTAGCATTCCCAATTAAAACCACATGAGCTTCCTTTGCAGTAGGGGTGTCCTTTAGAGTTTTTTGTTTTTTGTTATAACCAGCTTGTCTTAAATCTATCGGTGTGCTTTTTCACTGCTGTTCTCAACTTGAGCAGTTGTAATGAGGTAGTGGGCATTTTGGTCTTTGTCTTAGGCTGGGTTCTCTAGAGAAGCCAAACCAGGGAAGCATATATATATGCATATATGGAGAAAGACATTCTGTGCATTGTTATTCCTCTGCTCTTCTGTTACATTGAAGGTGGCATGTGATCTCTATCAGATTCTTGTCTAAAAAGGTAGGAAAATCTCTTGATTACATAGCTTCGACTAATCCTGGCGATGTGATTATACCTTTTTAGTGGAAGGAAACTTTTAAAATTGCTTTCCAAATTGACTATTAACCCTCTAGGTGTGTGTGTGGGGGGGGGGGCGGCACTGTGCACCATGGGGTTAATACTCCTTCTGGAGATTTTCCTTTTTTGTAATCTCCCTCTAGGCCTTTGCTACCCGAAATCTTGGAAACTTGCTGGATATGATGTACCGGGAGCCAGCACGATGGTCCTACACGTTCCAGACATTTTCTTTTATGAGCCGTCTGAAAACACAGCTGGAACCCGTCTCCGAGAAACCCTTACAGGCCAAGGAGCTGGTACAGGTCTTTGAGAGGTCTGTGTACAGTGACAGGTAAGACGACAAGCCCTCCACCAGCTATAAGCCCCATGCTCAATGCTACATATTTTGTTCTTCACACTCAGACCCCACACCACTCTAGTCGATGAAAACTGTGCTTTGAAAAACCATCTTCTTTGTGAAGATAATGCTACGTACATTTGTCCAGACTCGTGATTCCAAGGAGGTATCATATATGTTAAAAATCAGAAACCAAACCCATTGCCATTGAGTCGATTCTGACTCATAGTGACCCTATAGGACAGAGTAGAACTGCCCCATAGGGTTTCCTAGGCTGAAATCTTTATGGAAAGAGACTGCTACATCTTTCTCCCATGGAGCAGCTGGTGGGTTTGAACTGCTGACCTTTTGGTTAGCAGCTGAGCGCTTTTTTTTTTTTTTAATATGTATTCTTTTTTTTTTTTTTTGTGCTTTAAGTGAAAGTGTACAATTCAAGTTAGTTTCTCATACAAAAATTTATACACACATTGTTATGTGACCCTAGTTGCTCTCTCTGTACTGTGACAGCACACTTCTCCTCTGCACCCTGGATTTCCCGTGTCCCTTCAACCAGCTCCTGAGCCTCTGTGCCTTCTCACCTTGCCTTTGGACAGGAGTTGCTCATTTAGTCTCATGTGTCTACTTGAGCTAAGAAGCACACTCTTCACGAATATCATTTTATGTCCCGTAGTTCAGTCTAACCTTTGTCTGAAGAGTTGGCCTCAGGAATGGTTTTAGTTTTGGACTAACAGAGAGTCTGGGGGCCATGTCTTTTGGGGTCCCTCCAGTCTCAGTCAAACCATTAAGTCTGGTCTTTTTACTAGAATTTGAGTTCTGCACCCCACTTTTCTCAGGCTTCATCAGGGACACTCTGTGTGTTCTAGCAGCCAAGCACTTTTAACCACCGTGCCACCAGGGCTCCTTTCATATATGTCAAGAAAGGAAATTGTGCTTTTCATAAACTGAATGCACTTAATTTCCCACATTACCACTGACTACTTTATGTTCCCTTATTCTGGCATAGAGACAACCTGGTAGCTACCTTGTGCAGCTGTTATATGCTAAAAGGCACAGAGTAAACACTTAAGTAGCAGTATATGTTCTAGGAAACCAGAAGAATCAGTGGTTGGTTCTCATCTTGAAGAGGAAAGTGGAGGGAATTAAAAATCAGTGTTCCTAAAATAGTACAAGACATAGCTTCATTCTTCGTTCTTCAGAAAAGGATTTCCAAGTGGAAACAGCATGTCTGTGAAATGGGTTCTGTCTGGTCTTTAGTCTTTTTCGACCCTTTCTTCTGTGACAGGACTGTTGCTGACCAGAGTCTGTAATGGACATTGGTGCCTGTGTCAGGTCAGAGGAACAGTGTCTTCCTGACCACCTGAGGGAGTGAGATGTGTGCGGGCTTGCCATAGCGCGGGAAGCTAGCCTCATCTCTTCCCAGAGAGCCAGTCCACCCGGGCTGTGAATTCCTGGTTCTGCCACAGAGACCAGGCTCTGATGTGTGGTCACGCCATCTAGAGACAAAGTCTTGGCGTCTAGATCTGGACCCTGCTGGGCCTTTCCTTATCTGAAGGCTGTGAATGAGCTGTGTCAGCATGAAATGGTGCTTTAAAACATAGTGGTCTGGCTTAAGCCTCTTTGAGTAATCAAAATGGAAAATGCTGTATTCTCTTTGTGCATTCATTCACTTCTCAAGGCACTAAGTTAATCGGTCACCTTTTTAATTTCAAATTAGATAAACTAGTTCTACTTCTTAGTGCTCCCATAAAGCCCCTGGAGGAAAAAAAATAAGAGTATACTTATAAACATTTTGTGGTTTTTCTGACTTTATGTGATATTGTGCAAAATAATACAAAAGAAACCCTACAGGCTACACATTCCTTCTCTATGTACCTAGAGAGAACCTACTTTTTAAAAAAGCCAAACATACGAGTTATAAATGGTTAGCCTGTAGTTCTGGTTCTTTTTCAACTATTGGGCGTGCTACCCGCTATCTTCCTCACCCCTCTCCTAAGCCTCGCCTCTCGGGCTAGGAAGCTGAACTACAGGTAACCAGCTGTGTTGCTTGGAAGCATTCACAGTCAACCTTTTGATTTCCAGCTGTGGGTTGGAATCGACTCGACAGCAGTGGGTTTTTTTTTTTTTTTTTAAAGTGAGGTGGGCATGTGAGAGACCCTCAGAGGAAAACATAGACGTAGAAATACTTTGCTAAGTAGAAATACTTCGTTAAGAAGCCACGTGGATCTTAACATTTACTTAGAAAAGATAAGAATTGATTGCACTATGGAAAGCCACAGAATCTTGGATGTTGTCTTCAGAGGGGCCATTTTTGGGACAGAAAAGATAACTAACTACAAATTCTGATCATCCTGATGATAATTTAGACTATTCCTATTCTTTTAAAATGCATTCATGCATTTATTCATTCAACACAGAGGTACTGAATGCCTCTTATGTTGAGGCACTGCAGGGCGCTAGGGCTGCAGCAGTGAACGTGGCCAACCAGTTCCTGCCTTCACAGCCGTCCTGGTCTAGCAGGGAACACAGAGACTGAACGTGTGTTCACGTGTGTTCCAAAGGAGGAACATGGGTTGTTTGGTGGAATGGATTACTGGAAGGAAGAAATCTAAATCTCATCTGTTTGAGTAAAAGAAAATAGCATGTGACTTCAGAGCAGGGCCCCACACATGGGTCTTTAGGCAGGTTCCTCTCTGCAGTCCCTTCCCTCAGACCACAGTGGTTCCCTCCCCATTAGCACTCGGCACTGCACCCTTCTGCTCCCTTTCTCCCTATTACCGCCAGATTCTGCGAAAGAAAGAAAGAAGTGCTCATTCTCAAGAAAGGTGGGGGCCCCTTTTAGGACGTATTAACAAATACCTAATTTCTGTTTACAAGAGCTTAATTTCATCTTCTTGTTACCTATGCAGGAGCCGTGGTGGCACAGTGGTTAAGCACTCGGCTGCTAACTAAAAGGTCGGCACTTCTAACTCACCAGCGACTCTGGGGGAGAATGATGTGGCAGTCTGCTTCTGTAAATATTTACAGCCTTGGAAACCCTATGGGGCAGTTCGACTCTGTTCTATAGGGTCGCTGTGAATCGGAATCGACTCGACGAGTTTTGGTTTAGTTACCTATGAAGAAGCTGAAAACATTTTTCAGAACCTGAGTTACAGAAGTCACCTCTTTTTTTTGTTGTTGCCTTCAGCTAGACTAGCTAAACTATTCTAGACTGGAAGTTTACTAATGGGACTCCCAAATCAGCTTCTTCGTAGCCCAACAAAAAAGTTGTTATAATAATAACCAAGGTGTCTTGAACACTATGTGCTGGTTACTGTTCTAAGCACTTTATGAGTATTACATACAGTCATCAAAGCAACTCTGAGTTAGGTTCTACCGTTACAGGCTGAGAGAGCTTAGGTGACTTGTCCAAGGTGACTCTGCTAGTGAACGTCGGAGCCCAGCTTAGACTCAGGAGTGTGACTCTGGAGCCCATTCTCTTACTGTGACACTCATGGCTTTGCAGTCTATACTTCCCTGAGCTGTTTGTACACAGGGTTCTGAAATTTACTTGCCTAGAAGTGGCCAGTTGCTGAGCGTTGCCTTAGAAACTGGAGTTCATTGTTTAGGATGTAGATTATGTTTTATATCAAGATGCCTAAGGTTTATAAGCAGAATTAACCCCTTCTGAAGTGATGGTTTCTGTTTAGCTCTGATTTCCTACTTTCCATATGCTTCTTTAGTTGTGGAAGTGAGGAAGGGGCAAAGCTAATTTGGTTTTTAGCTGTAGCTTTCCTTTATTTAAATTAGAAGCTCAGCAGCAGAGGACGTAGGCAGACAAGAGCTCATCTGTGCTTTGGAGGAGGGTCTGCTTCCTTGGTAATACTACAGCTTTTCTAGCTCCATAGATGATACCACTAACTGCTGTTCCTTCTCCACTTCTCAAAAGACAAAAAGGTGGTTCAGAGCTTGGAGACTCAGAAGCCCACATGAAATGAATGTGGTGTGTGGCTTTTTAGTGGATTCGATTTTTTTTGGGGGGGTGGGTGCTTCCTGTAATGATGATGATGTTATCTCAGAAATTCAAGTTGATGTCCACCATTTGCTGTATGTTCTTACTGATTTCTAGCGGGGTGATTGTTAGAGACTAATGATACCTTTCTTCCATTGTTCTTTTTCTTCCAGTTAGTTAATCCATCTGGAGAGCTGGAATTTAGGCCTCTCAAGTCTAGATGCTATTTCCCATATTAGTTTTGAGCAGGGAGGAGAAGTGTGGGTTAAGAATTCAGATTTCTCAAGAATTGAGGAGCTAGAAAGGTTAAGTGGTTTGAACAGACATGGAACAAGTTGGTTATTGATTTTTCTGCTTCTCTCTCTCTCTCACCTTTCGTTCCATTCTCTGTTCTCCTCCTTCCCCGCCATCCTGTTTACATTTCCATCCAGGTATATCTTTGCAAAGAATCTTTTTGAAAATGGTTCCCTCAGTGACATCGAATGGCATATCTATCAGTCCTGGCATTCTTTCCTTCTCCAGGAGTTTGCCAGCAGGCTCAGATTACATGGCTTCATCTACCTACAGGCTACTCCCCAGGTAACAGAACCTATAAAGCCTTAGACTTCAGGGGCATGGGAAACCTAAAAGATGGCATTCTCCAAGCCCTGGTTTTCTGATTGGAGAAATTAGAGTGTGGGCATTCTACAGAGCCCAGAGAGCAGTGGATGAACACCACACCGTTCTAGCGTTGAGCACCCTGCGTCCCACCGGCCTTGTGCAGCGGAGTGCTAAAGCAATTCACTGTGCATAGAAAGGGTCCCTCTTTTTTTTTTTTTAATTGATGTAATTAAGTGAAGTTTACATTTCAAGTTAGCCTCCCATACAGAATTTTTTTTTTTTTTAAACATACATTGTTATGAAATCCCAACCGCTCACCCCATTCTGCGATAGCACACTCCTCCCCTCTGCTCCTGATTCCCCATGAACATTCAACCAGCTCCTAACTCTCTCTGCCTTCCCTTCTCACCTCTGGACAGAAGCAGCCCGAAAGGGTCCCTCTTGAGGTACCAACAACAGAAGCAAATCGGGCGCTATCTTTATCACCCAGGGTTTGCAGGTTGGACTCTATGATTGGGTGGCCTATAGCCAGTTGCCTCAGTTTTTCCTTCCCTCTGAGTCATCAGAGTCTCTGGTGGTCTGGATGGTTTCTTGAATAGGATGTGGGGAGGAAGAGAAGGGGGGTTTCCTCACCTTATCCTGATACTGCCCTAAATGGCCCCCTTTTGAATCAAGGATGTCGCTGTTAAGGCAGGATACACTACAGAAGTAGTGCACTCAGTAGGAAGTGGAATCACGGTAGTAGCACCGACGTCTTTGGAAACAGCAGTGGTCCTTGGCCTCTGCCGACTGGCAGTGACCTTGGCAGCCCCTGAAAGCCTTTCCACTGCAGGGGTCCTTGTCTATGAACTACACTGGCTCAGACTAGATGATCCCAAAGGGGTCTTACAGAGTGAGGTTCTGAGTCAAAGCAAGAGGTATTTTTGGGAGAGAGAAATCTGTGTTTGTGTATAGTCCAATGTCAGATGTACCACATAATCTTAGATGGAAGGAAGGCTCTCTTTAGGTTAGAGGTCACACTTTTAGAGGTGGAACTGAGCCTGAGAGCTGACAACAGGGTGCGAAAATGAATGGGAGAGCACCAGTCGCATAGAGTTGCAGGAGCCAAAGAGAAGAGGGTTGGAAAGAAGGCCTTGCTTGCATCAGGAAGGTTGCTGCTGGGAAAGAGGCCCTTGAATGTAAAATGTAACTGGAACGGATGCTGGGGGTCTTTGCGTTAGCCGTTTCCAGAGATTGTAGGGCAGAAGCTAAATCATAGGAGGAAATAAAGAGATTCCACAGAAATAAGGATGTCAGAAGAGGAAGTAGGGTCTAAGGTATAACGTAAAACCGAACTTGAGATTCAGAGGACTGAGACCCTTCAGTGAGAAGGACCAAGCTGAAGTTAGATGCGTTAATTGCTGATGGACTGGCTGGGTCCCATTTATGCAACTTCTTTCAGTGGTCTTCATTGCCTGGGACCAGGAATAGAAGAGGCAAATTCTAAAAGTGATTCTAACTTAGGGTGGAGGCTTGTGTCAGTGATGAGGAGAAGAGGAGTCCCTTGCCAAAGAGGATGAGCTTGAAGAAGCTGAGTGTAGCGTTCAAGGTGAGAGAGAAGCTGTGGCCCCCAGGAACGCTTATGATCTGGCCAAGGACGAGCGAGAGGACTGAAGTTGGAGTGAGTGAAGATTCTGTTTGGAATTTGAAGGGGTGACAGGTTCCCAGTGGGAGTCATGAGATGGCTGGGCTGAAAGAATCAGTAGGCTGAGAGGCTGAGCATGAGGCAGAGGAGAAGAACTAAGAGTGCTCCCCTTTTCCTAGGGACACAGGACTTCAGCCCTTGGTGCCATAAAGACAGGATGGGGGAGGAACAAGGGAGGAAGTAGACTGATTCCTGGGAGGGAGACAGGGCTGCTTGGCCAGCTGCAGGGGCTCTTGTTTCTGGGAGAGCTGAGGTTGAACACAGACACTGGGAACCAGCAAGGAAGGCAAGAGAATCTTCCTCCCTTTTCTTCTTTGTGCACGCTGAATAGTGTGAGAAGAGGACAATGATGGTGGTGGTAGTGATTATTAGTACTGTGGGGTTGCTGATAAATCTTTTTTGGAGAGACTAATTGAGGTCTTTCAGCTGGGGCAGAATGAGGGTAGTTGAAGGATTATTGCAATGTAATGGTAGAAAAAGAAAAATAGCATATTCGTTTGGGGATTAAATGGGGATTGAGGTGCTATTTTGATAACATTAGAGCCAGGGACCCTGGAGTGCCCATTTTCTTCTCTGACATCACCCCTAACCCCTTCTGTGAGACTCAGAAGTAACTATACCCAAGAGAAGAGCAGAACAGAAATGAAGGCATCTCTGTAAAAACCTATGCAAGTGGCCAGTGCCCCAGGTAGAGACCTGGTGAATGCAGAGGTTAGAGCTAGTGCACGTGGACACAGGTTTTCATCCGGGACTTTCTGACTTTAAGGCCTGTGCTCTTCCCACTACACTTGGCTGCCTCCAGGCGGCAGAGTGAGTACAGAGCTCTTGCTCCGGTCCAGATGAGAGGCCATCGGGCCCTGACCCGGTGGAGGTGGGAGGAGCGGCAAGGAGAGAACTAACTGGAAAGAGATTAAGGAGAAGTTAGTGACTTCCTGGATATGGTTGGGAGGAGGGAAAAGAAAGATAATTCTAGATTCTCAGCTTGGATGTCTGGGTGGGTGATATTTGCCATTAACCAGCTTAGGATACTCCGGAGAAAGCAGAGTTAAGGCAAAGAAAATGGTGGAGTCAGGCCAGTGAATCATTTCCTCTAATTGAATAAGAAAACAAGACAGCAGAAGCAAAGCCATGGCTTGCTGTGCCCAGGATAGACATCATGAGTGGGTCTGAGAGCCCCACAAGACTACACTGTAACAGCCAAAACAGCACAGGAGCTCAACGGGGCCTGGGGAATGTCTTGTAGGTTTGTTTGAAGAGACTACACCAGAGGGCCAGGGCAGAAGAGAAAGGAGTTGAGCTGGCTTATCTCGAGCAGCTTCACGGTCAGCATGAAGCCTGGCTTGTCCACAAGACAACCAAGTAAGTGGAGAAAAGAGCAGATTAGAGCCCCGCCCCCCTACAGCCTTCCTGTATGTTAAGGTTAACATGCATCCCCATAAGAAGGTTCAGAATGGACTGGAAGTGCTTGGGAGGTCAGCATTTTCCAACTCAGAAGCTTAATACTGGATGTAATCTTACATTCCAAGGGACTTTTTATTAGATTTTGTTTCTCCAGCTTGTTTTGTTTTTTCACATTTCCCTCGACTGAACATTGTGATTAGTGATCGTGATTGTTGGCACATGATGAAGGATTAAAAATTTGTAGAGGAATTATCAGTTTTACTAAGTTGACGTTCCTAGTTTTTACCTTTTCTCCCACGCGGCCTTGGTATGTTGTCCGCTTCAAATGTTTAGAGCTCCGACCTTCAGTATCAGTCTCAAGACCAAAGAGAAATACCAATATTCCTCTTTTCAGCCAATGTTCGTGAATTTTTTCTAATGCTGTGTACGTGCAGTCTCATTGAGTAGCCCTGTGAATTCAGATCTGTTCTCTGAATTACCAAGGCTTGGCTCAGGTTTCTTGTCTCCTTTCTGCCCCTCCAACGTTCACGCTACCACAGGCTCCACTGTGAGGCTCTGCAGAACATCCCAGTGCTGGTGTTGGACGTCAATGAAGATTTTTCTGAAGAAGGAGCCATACAAGAGGAACTCATGAGAAAGGTGGAAAGGACCTGACCACCTGCTTTCTGGTGGTTTTCTTTTTCTGGTTGTACTTTAATCTTTCTGGCCTTTGTGTCAAACTTCAGTATGATGGGTATTGTGTTTGTACCTCAAATTTTATTTCACACACAAAGCTTGTGGGATCTTACACAAGTTAGAAATAATAATCCCTATTCGCTAAAAGTAGTTTGAGGTAGTAATTGTTAAATAATTGACTTGTAATGTGCTTCCCAACTAACCTCCTCCTCTGAGGTATTCCAGAAGTGGGGAAATGAGGCTTTTGGATTCTCTTCCCAGCTCTGCCACTCGCTCTCTGTCACCCTGGGCAGATCACTTTTCCTCTCCATGTTATTCTCCCTGCTTCACAAAAACCTCCTGGCCTGCCTCCCTATACATCGTAGATGACTACTGAATAGTCTGCTGAAGTGTGAAGTTTAACTTGGGTTTTTCTCTCTCTACAGGTGAACACCTTTGTAAAGAATCTGTGACCAGTGCCATGATGTTCTGGCTGTGATCTGGGCTCTCCAAACTTCTGAAGCTAGAAAAGTGTCCAGTCACCCACCCACCTTTGCTAAAGTTTGTTTTTTTAACTTATTTCTATTCCAGTTGTTCCATTCATTTCAGCATATACCTGTTGATGCCTACCTGCTCTGAACTCCCTTCTAGAGTAGCGGTTTTCACCTGAGAAAAGTCTTAGCTTTTGTTCTTGAGCCCTTCGCCACCAAGAGTCCCTTGTGTGTTCCCTTGTTCCCTCTGACATGCCAGGGCAGGAATTGCTCCCAGAGCCCTCAGCCAAGCTCCACTGAAAGCAGGAAGGAGGGAAGTAAAGTGCTCAGGAACCAGTGAGAGCTCAAGGGTGAGCCCAGAGCTAGGAAAATGGAGCCCAGACTCCAGGAAGCTTCTTTATCTCTTCTCATCCTCCAACTCTTGGTATGAAGGTTGAGAGTGGGGAGGCAGATTTAGTCCTTTGTCCTAGAGCTGAAGAACCTGGCCAGAAGGAAGGAAGGGAAGAAGGGAATAATCAAGAGCCCAAAAATTTAGCATGTACCATTTAGGATTTGGTCATTCTGATACTCTGGTCTGCTCTAAATACTTTAGCTAGTGAGTTTCAGTTGATCTTAAAGGAGTGAAGCTGTCTATGCTAGAAAGAAAAATATTTTGTGTGTGTGTGCTGCTCTTCAAGCTTCAAGGACGATTTATCGTTAAGGGAGAAAAGCATGTGGCTCTATAGAATTGAAGTCTCCGTTGCAAGAAGCCTGCAGGCCCCCTGATTCACGGGAGAAGAGTTCCTCCACAGAACTGTTGACAGTGGTGCAGGAACACAGGAGCGTGAGTGCGCTCGGGACCAAGTGTCTCAGAAGATGGAAGCCTGTCTTTTCCTTTGTGCTTTGGGAAAATGAATGCAAGATTGGTTTCTAACAAATGTGTAATGTTTTGAAATAAAAATACAGTGGTTTCATTATCTCACTTGTTCGTTTTCTTTTTAACTTTTTAACAGCTTCATTGAGATAAAATTCATATACTATAAAATTTGCCAATTTAAAGTATACAATTGAATGGTTTTTAGTATATCTCTACAGGGTTTTGTGACCATCACTACAATCAATTCCAGAACGTTTTCATCACCCTAAAAAGAAACCCTGTACCAGTTAACAGTCACTCCCCATTTCCCCTTAAGCCTTGCACACACACAGACCCAACCATAGGCAACCACAGATCTACTTTCTGTGTCTATAGATTTGCCTGTTCTGGACATTTCATATAAATGGAATCATACAATATGTGGTCTTTTGTGATTGGCTTCTTTCGCTGAGCATGTTTTCAAGGTTCATCCGTGTTGTAGCATGGATTAATACTTCACTTCTTTTTATGGCTGACTAATGTCCTATAGGAAACCCTGGTGGCGTAGTGGTTAAGTGCTACGGCTGCTAACCAAAAGGTCGACAGTTCAAATCCACCAGGCGCTCCTTGGACACTCTGTGGGGCAGTTCTACTCCGTCCTGTAGGGTCACTATGAGCCGGATTTGACTCAAGGGCAATGGGTTAATGTCCTACAGAGCACTGGTGGCGCAACGGTTAGAGAGCTCAGCTGCTAACCAAAAGGTCAGCAGTTGGAATCCACCAGCTGCTCCTTGGAAATCCTGTGGGGCAGTTCTACTCTGCCCTATAGGGTCGTTATGAGTCAGAGTTGACGGCAACGGGTTTGGGTGTTTTTTTGTTGTTAATACTTTATCGTGTAGATATACCACAGAACTTGTGGGTTTCTACTTTTTGCCTATTATGAATAATGCTGCTATGAACATTAGTGTACAAGTTCTTGTGTAGACATGTTTTCATCTCTCGTGGGTATATACCTAGGAGTGGAGTTGCTGGGTCACATGGTAACTAAGTTTAACGTTTTGAGGAACTGCTAAACTTTTTCAAAGTGGCTGCACCATTTTATATTCCTGCCAGCAATGTATAAAGGTTCCAATTTCTCCACAACCTCGCTGATACTTTGTCATTTTTATTATAGCCATCCTAGTGGATGTGCGGTTGTATCTCGTTTTGATTTGCAACTCCCTGGTGGCTAATGATGTTGAACATCTTTTCCTGTGCTTATTAGTCATTTGTATATCTTTGGAAAAATGTTCAAACCCTTTGCCCATATTTATCAGATGTGTGATTTACAAATATTTTTTCCCCTTTCTGTGTACTGTGTTTTCACTTTCTGGATAGTGTCCTTTGAAGTACAAATGATTCTGATGAAGTCCAATTTATTCATTTTACCATTTGTGCTCTTGGTGTGTCTAAGAAGGCTTTTAATAACCCAAGGTCACAAGACTTCACTCCTGTTTTTTTCTAACAGTTTATTTTATAGTTTTAGCTCTTAAATTTAGGTCTGTGATCCAGTTTGAGTTAGTTTTTGTGTCCGATGTAAGGCAGGGGTCCAACTTCATTCTTTTGCATGTGGATATCCAGTTGTTCCAGCACCATTTGTTGAAAAGACTATTCTTTTTCCCCACTGAATTGTTTTGGCACTCTTCTTGAAAATCTGTCCCACTTGTTATTGTGTTTGTTTGCTGCTTCAGGCTTTGGAAAAAACCAGGGATGAAGATAGGGTATTTGGTGTGTTTAGGAAAGTTGGTGGTTTTAGTCTTCTCGTTTGGGGAACTCAAGTGTTAATTCCCATTTATGTTTCCAGGACCCATGAATGTAGAGATTTCCTGTGGTCCTAGAGTAAGAGTGCTAGGCCCCGCTCTTCATTCATTCATTCATCAACAATTATTTGGAGCCCTGGTGGTGCAGTGGTTAAGCATTCAGCCACTAACCAAAAGATTGGCAGTTCGAATCTACCAGCCGCTCCTTGGAAACCCTATGGGGAAGTTTTACTCTGTCCTATAGGGTCGCTATGAGTTGGAATCAACTGCAGCGGGTTTGGTTTGGGGTTTTTGGCCATATGCTAGGTACCAAGGAGGTAACAGTAAACACGACAGAAGGCCGACCTTGTCCTTCCCTCACAGAACTTGTGAACTGATCGAGAAGGATGTAGACACTGAACAAGTCATTGCAGGTGTGGTGAGCCTTTAACAAGGTGAAATGCAGGTATGTGTTTGCAGTGGGGGGCTGTAAGAGGAGGAGACATAGTAATCTGGGACAGCTTTCCTAAGAAAGCCCCCTAAGCTTACTTCTGAATTCTGAAGGGTGAACAGGGTGGAGTACTCAGGCAGAGAGAAAAGCCACGTGCTAAGGCCCTTGTGAGAACGAGGCATTCGGCCCAGGTTGTCAAAGCCAGATGTGGGTTATGGGTTTCTACTTTAAAAATACATGCCTCATTCATAGTCTTCACATAGTCTTGAAGCCTGAAAATCTACAGATTAGGGATTTCATTTATGAGCACTGCCTTTTAGAATATAAATGTCCTCTGGGATAGAGCCATCAACAGTCTCACCTGAAATTTGCCATTTTCCAGATTGGTAGCTGAGATCATCTGTAGAAACAGTAAACATTTTAATGAGGAGCAATAATATTGGACCTTAAATTATCTGGGGAGGGGTAGGTCTGGGCGGAGCCTTTGAATCTTAGGAGTAGGGCTGGACTTGGAGATTAAAAAGGGGTGCTGGGGGCTGGAAGCACAGTCTCTGTCAAGCATTTTGCCTAAAATGGTGTCTTTTCCTCACTTTTGTCTTGCCACTGTCAAGCCGGTCTCCGGCTGTTCTCACTCTTGGTTTAGGCTGTCCCCTAGAGTCAAATAACTTGGATTAACACATACAAATAGCTGCGTTTCTTTCTGGCTTACGAGGTGGTAAAACCTGCTGTTCTGGAACCTGAATGTTACCTTGATGGGTTTATAACGTGTGGATTGAGGTTGTGAAAGTCTCAGAGGTCAATGTGAAGGGAGAAGATGAACGTTTCAGGGGAGAGAGGCTGTTACATGCAAATGCTAGAGTCACAGGAAAAATGAAGCAAACAAATAACATGCACTCTAAAAGTTAAAAGACTGTTTAACCTCTAGCCCTCACTTTAAATAGTAGGCAGTTTAAATACTCTGGAACTTTTTTCTTCCTTGGTCTCTTCGGGCTCTCCCTCCTCTTGGTGCCTCCTTCTCTGTCTCCTTGTCTGACTTATCTTTTTCTCCTCTCTTCTGAAATGTTGGTGTCCGCAGACACTCTTGCCTCATTTCTGTCTTTATTCACATTTCCCTGGGTGATCCTATATTAGTTTTCTCTTGCTGCCATAACAAATTACCACAAGTGTGGTGGCTTAAAACAGCACAAAGACATTATTTTACAGTTCTGTAGAGAAGTCTGACGTGGGTCTCACTGGCCTAAAATCAGGGTATCAGCAGGACTGCATTCCTTTCTGGAGGTTCTAGAGGAGAAGCTGTTTCCTTACCTTTCCCAACATCTAGAGGCCGCTCACATTCCTTGGCTTGTGGACACTTCTTTCCTCTTCAAAGCCAGCAATGTTGCCTCTCTACCTTCTGTTGTCACCTGTCTCTGACCACAGCCAGGAAAGGTTCTCTGCTTTTAAGGACTCGTGATTACCTAGGGCCCGCCTGGATAATCCAGGATAGTCCTCCCATCTCAAAGCCTTTACCCTTAATCACATCTGCAAAGTCCCTTTTGCCATGTAAGGTAACATTCACAGGTTTTGGGGATTAGGACGTGGACATCTTTGGGGGTCTATTCTGCCTACCACAGCTCTCACATACTGTCACGGCTTCCACTGTTACTATGAGGTGAGGACTTTTTAAAGACTTGGAAATTTTATGGAAAATGTCAGTCCTATGCAGTAGCCAAGAGAATAGTGTAAATAATCCCCATGTCCTAGCCTAGACGCCCTAAGACCACCAGGAGCAAACCTGTAGTTTGACAAAGTCAGATCTGTCGACTAATTGTGCTGAGGGAGACCACACACCAGAGGAACGTGGGGCAACCCACCAAATGTGAAGAGAACTCCAGTGGAGTTACTGGATTTGGGGGAAGGGTAAAGTTTAGGTAAAATTTAAACAAAGCCATGCTTTGATGGTCTCCAAGCAAAGCAGGACTGCATAAAGGAGTCACCAGATGCTGAGTATCTGGTCTGAACTGCAAAGTAGACCCAGGCTCTCAGCAAGTACAGAGTTAAGATAATTGTGGAATGTTGTGTTCAGAAGCTCCTTATCTGAAGCTCTGAACCTGGATTGGAAATCACATCTACTTCTCTGTGTCAAAGTGACTTAGATCTTGCAGGCAAGACCAAGATGTTTCATTTTTACTGATAAAATTTCAAACAGCATATCTCTGATAGTTCATCATTTGAGAGAACAAGGTATCTCAGTGAGTCAGAAAGCAGTAGCCACACAAAGAAGGGGGTCATTAGGACACTTTACAGCTGCAGCATACCCTTGGGAGAAACATTGTTTGATGGTCACTTTCCAGCTGACTCTACCTGTGTCCTTCCTGTAGCCTAATGAATGAAGGGCAGAGATATACTTTCTTAGTCTGAGCTAATTTTTGACTTCTCACCCAACTTCAGTTATCCACTCATGGCCAGTCTTGTTTCACCTGTGTCCTATCTCCTGCCCACCTCCCCCTACCCCATCCCCACTCCCAGACAGGAAGATGACTTAAAGCTAGAGCTGTATTAACCTCTGGTTATCTCCACCTGGATATCCCTCATGTTCAATGTGTAAGAAATCATTCTCATCGACACCCACACACCCACCCGAACCCCTACGGCACCACCAGCCAACAAAGTCTGCTGCTTCTGCTTCACCATTCACCCAGTTGACCACATTAGAAGCCTTGGAGTCATCTTTGACCTCCAGCTATCTTCTCTCACCCATTTTCACCAAATCCTGCCTGTTCATCTCTGAAATCCCAAACATCTTCTCTTCACCCCATTTCTGTTGCTTTAGTTTAAGGTGCAGTGGAAATGATGGTTGACTCCTTGTCATGGATTGAATTGTGTCCCCCAAAA